TCTGATCAGTCATACTTTTAGGTTATCGGCTAGTTTATACTTGGCTCCTCAGAAAGCTGATAAACACTTTGATATTATGCTAACAAGAATGAATAACCTTCAGTGAAAGGGTAGGTCCATAGGGACTAACTCTGTTCCTTTGAAGATATATGTGCCGTACTTTGAGATTTGGGCACCTAAATAAAAACTAAATCATACCAGACCTTGTTGAGAATTGTCCTTCTATACTAAACTATTTTCTTTGTGTTAATTTTAAAATGTAGCCTTGATCCTCCCTAGTTTTTCTGGAAAGTTTTTTCTGTATTGATGTTTTGAAGAGAGGTCATGTCTTAGCTTTCAGGGGTTTTATTTTCTTCCCTGTCCCATGAGCTACCTCCTTACCTGTGGTATAGTGAGTGCTGTAATTGCATGGGGTTAGGGGATCCACATGCATGAGTGCATTTTCCCAGAGGACTCTTGAAAGTATGAATGCTTTAGGTGAAGCTTAGGGAGAAAATGACATTAAAGGGAGTCTTGAAATTTGGAAACTGTCTCATACCACAATAGTTTCTGCGCCATGAATTCATCTTTGGTGTGTCTCCACAGATGTGCCTGGCTTTTCTGTGAACTGGCTTTCTCCCAACCTCTGGACTACTCCCCACTTTCCACTTTTCATCTTTCCCATTTATCCACATCTCTTTACACTCTTGTCTTGCTTTCAATTCTTTGTTAAGAAGCCAAAACCCCTCTGTAATGATTGCTTGAGGGTATTTTGCTTTTCTGTCTTGTTCTTTGGTTTGACATTGCCACCTTTCAAGACAGTCTCCTCATAACAGTTTTAAGTGGTATAATGATCAAGTTCTCATAACTTTCATTTGTGATACTCATGAAATTTTGAATTTGGAAAGAAAATGGCAAGTGAATGGGTAGGAAAAGCTTGAGAGGTCATTTACCTACGTTTCTCAGCGTGTGTGAAAGCTTGCACAGTGCTAATTCCTCACATGTATGTGATGCCTGTGTTCGTGCAGGTGTATACACTCAGTAGTAATCAGGGACTACACTTTCACTCAGTTCCCACTTACCTCATACTAAATGTCCTGCCATTGCTTCTAAACATTGTAGGTACTTGGTTTGCTCTTAACAGATACATGCATGAACACATGATACTGGCATTTAGGTAATGGTGCCTAAAAATAAGTCTCTTCAAATGCCTGAAATAAAACAAGTTATTCTTTTGCTAAAGCCATATGTCATCATTGTGCAGAGTACAAAGATCATGTACAAAATTATTTCCTCACTGAGTGCCATTGTAATTAAATGACTTGCTGTTGGAGATAGACCTATATTAAATCTAGGTCATTTACTTATCAAGACTGCTTGAGAATTCTGATTTGTTCGAATATGATGGCTTTTTCCGGAATGACTAGCTAGAAATAATCTTAGTCTGAAAAACCTAGAGACATTCTGTCTAACCTGTTTCTGAACTTGTAATAAGTTAGCAAATAAAAGAGTACTTTGAATTTGGTGGAGAAAATAGATAAATTTCATGTTCTTAGTTTTTTTTTTTTTAAAGATTTATTTATTTATACAGAACTGGGGTACAGGCCAAAGATGCGGAGGGTGAGAGGATTCACCAGGAACAGTGTGGGGAGCAGAACAGGCAGATCGACGAAGTACACTGCTGAGGGGAGCAGCGGGCGAAGTACACTGCTGAGGGGAGCAGCGGGCGGGTCAGGAGAGGTCTGCCTCACCATGTGGTCACCTCCAGGGCAGGCGGGGATCGAACTCATGCGAAAGTGGATTAAGCTTCTTAGTGCAGTATTTTAACCCGCTGCGCCACCAGAGAGGGCCCTCATGTTCTTATTTTTATTGGTAGGCAAGTCTTACATAGATTGTTGTGTATTTAGGTAAAGTATATTTTGTGCAGGAGTAAAAATTGGTTTGAATTTTCTTTAATCTATTTCATATGTATTACCTAATCAAGTTCTTATAAAATGTGACTGTACAGGGTCGTATGTATGGCATCAAGTTCACATAAGTTGGTTCTCTGCCATTTAAGTGATTTTTGCCATTTTGGAAAATATCAGAAACACATAAACATTCTGAGATTACCTAATAGTATCTGAAATATCAAGTAGATTTTTATTAGTAATTCAGGAAATACTTTGAGGCACTTTAAAGTTTAAGCTTGATGTAGTAACTAAAGCAAACAGCATGAGTTTTGTTTGAAAATAAAATATTTCACATGTAATTAGAAATTTAGAAAAGTGCCATGATGTTGCATTGGTTTTTTAATTTTTATTAAGTAAGCATTAGGTTTTTTTTATTTTACTGTCAAAGAAAAATTTTTTATTAAAAAAAAACCACCCCCCTTTTATGAAGCAATTCAGTGAATCTTCTTATGTACTGTAACCATATGTAATCAGTCATTTTTCTTTTTTCTCTCTTACGACTAACAGCTTTGAGCAGAAGAATACAACTTTTTTTGCTATTAAGTGTCTGTGAAGTAAGGCCAGAAAGTTTAAATAAATTTTGACCAAAATGGTTTTGGAGTCCAGTTTTATCTGTTTTTTTTTCTGACTGACTTGATTGAAAAACATCTTGAAGTCAAAGAAGCGGTGTAATGACTGTTTTCTCATCCTGCAGGGATAACAAATATATCTCTCACCTGGAATATTGCAGAGAACACCATTTTAGGAGCAGTTTCCTTGTTGAGAAACTGGTTTCTTTGTTGTGGGCTTTTACTGACATATGCTAGATTCTTATCTTTTTTGTTCTTCCTCAGCTTACTGAGAACATTGCTCCTTCTCTTTTAAGAAAATTTTCAGTTGAAAAAAAATTTTGTAAAAACTTGAAACAGTCTTAAAATTATAAAAAGTTGCAGTACATTACAACTATCTGCTATGCCTGACTGTGGGAAAGTCAGTTGCTCTTGGGGTGCTTCTTCATCTTCAAGTAAAAGGACATTTTTCTACTAATGTGCATTAACTTCAGAACATTAATGTTGACATGTTGTTACCTTCTAATCCTCAGAAGACAGGCCTGTGGAAAACTGGTATAAAAAAGAAAACTGAGTACTGTATTATGCAAAAATGGTCATGATAATTCACATTGGAGAGACTTTCTAAGTGCATGTGATAAAAGAATGTGTATACTTACTACATACATTCTTGAAGGATGGATTAAAAGGCTGTTAGAGGTGACCTCAGGACGGAGGCTGCTGTGCTTTGTTTGCCAAGGGACTCCAGAAAGTGTCTGAGTTCACTTTGATACTGAATATGTTAGTTCTCTTGGTGACTGGGCATTGGCTTTTGACTTTGCAGTTGGCCCTGGTACTTTTGCTTTGTAGCCATCGCGGTCTCACTGTTAGCTTCTGGGTGTTGCTTCAGGGAGCTCAGTTATTCAGCATGGGAGAGGGATCCTTCAGAGCACACAGCTTGCAGCCTTCCACTGTGCCTTCAGGATGATTCCCATATAAAGTGCTCAACATTCCAGCTCCGCTGCTCAAGAGTAAGAGAACTCACTGTTTGCAGTCAAATAGTTCCAGTTTGACTTTAGCTATATTCCTGAGAGGATAACTCCTGAATGAAGCTCTTCACAGTTCTCTGATTTATATTAGAAAGTACCATTGCCACAGTGCCTTTGTGATAATGAAATCTCTTAGAAAAAGTAAAAGAGGCCCTCTCTGGTGGCGCAATGGGTTAGCATGCAGCACTGCAAGCAAGCCGCAGCCAATTCAGGGCAAATTTGATACCCCGCGCTGGAGGTGATCCACATGGTGTGGCAGACCTTTCCTGTCTCGCCCGCTGCTCCCCTCAGCAGTGTACTTTTATCTATCTGCCTGTACTGCTCCCCGCTCTGTCTCTGGTGAATCTTCTCACCACCCCTGTACCTCTGGCTTGTACCCCAGTTCTCTATGCACAAATCTTACAAAAAAAGAAAAAAGAGACTGCTTATTGAGTCTTGAGAGAACAATTATGGGAAGTTTCTTGATTTTTTAGAAATTACATTTTTATTGAGGTAATAATATGTCAGTAATATGTTTAGATACAGAGTATTGTAATTCAACATCTGTGTACACTGCCTCATGATCATAGAATGGTTTTCATCTATCACCGTACAGTTTGCCCCTTTTACCTATTTTGTTCAAGGTCCTGTCTCCTTCTCTGGTAACCACCAATCTGTTCTCTGATCTTACAACTTGTTTGTTCGTTTGCCTTATTTCTTTATATTGCATTTATGATTGAGATCATATGGTGTTTGTCTTCTCGTATGGCTTTTAGTACCCTCAGAATCCACCATGTTGTTGCAAATGGTAAGATCTCACTCACCTTTTTTTTTTAATAGCTGAGTAGTAATCCAGTGTTTGTGTGTGTGTGTGTAAAGCATACATAATCATATCTTTATTGAGTCACTCACTGATACTCATTACATATCTTTGCATTGTGAGTAGTGCTGCAGTTACCATTGGTGTGAGTACATCTTTTTCTACTAGTGCTTCTCCATTTGAATACTCAGAAGTGTATGAATAGCTATGATGTGGTATTTCAAATTTTAAACTTTTACAACATGTCCATATTGTTTTCAGTAGTGACTATAGCAACTTGCATTCTCACCACCAATGCAGGAGAGGAGATCCTTAGTTTTAAAAACCATTTTTCTTCTAAGTTCTTTTTCCTGATAATGTATGTTTGTGTTGATTAACTTTAAAGTTTTAAAAGTTAAACTGATCTTAAATTACATTTTAATCTTAGTGCTGTTTCAGCAAAATCCAAACAGAATGTAGCCCATTTATGTAGGTTTGTAGATTGACATAAATGTATTTGGTGAGTTAACAATAGTGAAAAACAAAAACATTCAAAGAATTTCCAAGAAAATAATTCACATATTCTATATTATGAAAGTGACTTGTGTTCTTTATTGTTTATGTGTACATTTGTGTTAATTTTATGGTAAGAGTTACTGTTTATATTAAAGAGTTATAACATTTATGGGTTCTGATTTTGATATGTACCCTTAAGGCTCTTGCAGATCAATTTGAAGATAAAACTACATCTGTATTGGAACGTATGAAGATTTTCTATTGCTGTCAAGTACCACCTCACTGGGCTATTCAGGTATTTTTATTATTAGTTACTGGATATGGAAACTACTTTGCAGCAGAAAGATAAATGCACTAAAGATTTTTTTGTCTTTTATGGTTGTGTGTTCAAGTATCTCAGTGAAATGAGTATCAGAAGTATTTGAGGATTACGGATTATTTCACATTGATACTGTGGTTAATAATATTGATAATTTAAGACTAGATCATGGTGAGAATCCTAGAAATTAAACAACAGGAGAACCAGCTTCTTGACCTTTGTGTTCTGTAGATTATGCACATAGCTTTAAGATTAGAAACACATATTCAGTGACTCAATTCATTATTTTATTCTTTTTTGAATTCTTTTTTTTTAATTTGAAATATAATTGATATATATTAATTAGTTTAAGGTATATGGCAATAACTTGATACTTGTATGTGATGTGAAATGATTACTGTAGTAAGTTTAGTTAACTTTCATCCCCTCTCATGGTTACAATTTTTTCTTGTGATGAGAACTTTTAAGATCTATTCTCTTAGTAACTTTCAAATATGCAACACAATGTTGTCAGCTGTAGTCACCATGCTATACATTACATGCCCAGACTTACTTGTCTTATAACAGGAAGTTTATCCCTCTTGACATACTTCTTTTCCCCTACCCTTACTCCCAGGAGCCATCAATATGTTCTGTTGCTGTTTATTCAGTATATGTAAGATCATGCAGTGTTTTCCTTTGTTTGATTTATTTCACTTACTGTAATAATCTCAAAGCTCATCCGTGTTCTTGAGAAGGCAGGGTTTTCTTTGTAATGACTGAATATTATTCCTTGATAGGTAGACAGTCTGTTGATAGAGACTTAGGTTGGTTCCATCTCCTGGTTATTGGGCTAATGCTGTAATGAACACATAGTTACAGGTATTTCTTGGAAATAGTGATTTTGCTTCCTTCTAATAAAGACCCAAAGTAGGTTTCCTGCATCATATGGTGGGGCAGTTCTTAATTTCTTGAGGAAACGCTCTACTGTTTTCCATCGTGACTGCACAATTTAGATTTCTACAAATGGTGCCCACTGATTTCCTTTTTCTCCATTGTCACCTCTTATGATTGAGGCTAACCATTCTACCTAGAGTTTTAAAAATGGTTTATTAAATTTCAGTGTTAGAAATCAATGATGATTGTCATATCTAGAATCTCTAGGTAGTAAAGAAATACTGATTTTGTTTCGTAAGTTTTGAGTTCATTGGAAAAATTCGCTATCTTGTATATTTTGAACAGCTTATATTGTTTTAAATTCTTTCCCTCCTGTAAAGAATCTTGCTTTCAGTACAGTTAGAGTTGAATCAGCACAAATTCCTAATTAAAGTTGAGTTATATGCTTTTGTTTACAATAAGAGGAACCTAAAAGGCAGATTGGATGTAATTGCAAGTGAAATAGAAATATATTTACATCAAGAAATGTTTGTTATTTTAATTTGATTTTTCTAGCGCCAACTTGCAAGTTTACTCTTTGAGTTGGGGTGTACCAGTTCAGCCCTTCAGATATTTGAGAAGCTGGAAATGTGGGAAGACGTTGTCATTTGTTATGAAAGAGCCGGGCAGCATGGGAAGGTATGTAATAGTAAAATTTTATGTAATTCCATCTTTTAGCATATTTTCATTTATTTTCTTTTTTTCCCCCACTTTTGCCAGTGATATGCTTATATTTCTGTTCCTGAGGAATCATTTTGCTGTTTTCTCTTATTTCAGATGGGGCAATGTATAGTATGTATGTGCATTTATATGTACTTAAAGTAGAAAGACAGGCCAAAATGGATATGGTCTTTGATGTTTAAGTATAAATAATGGAAGCTTTAAAGGTTTCATTTTGATCTCTTTCCTTTATTAACTCTTCTCCTGTAGGACAGCTTCAAAGTGAAATGTTAGGAATTGATTTAAGCTTCACTGAAGTTGCCCTGTGGTTAGAGACTTGGGCTTGAAGGGAGGGAGAGCAGCTGTTCAGGCTGTAGAATAAAAATCTGAAGGGTATAGTGACCCCTTTGGGGCAGAAAAGTTGTCAAGTGTGTAATACATCCTTAAATTGGGTTTAGAGGGAAAATATTGCAGTATTTGTTATTAGTCTCGCATTTTTCCCCTCATAAATGAACAGTCTTAAAAACAATACAAATCAGAGAATACATCACAGGGACTCTGCATTGTGAGTAACTATTAAAAATGACACATTGGCCCTCCCTGGTGGCGCAGCGGGTTAAAGCACAGCACTGAGAATCTAAAGCTGCTTCCACATGAGTTCAATTCCCGCCTGCCCTGGAGGTGACCACATGGCGCAGCAGACCTCTCTTGACCCATCCTCTGCTCCCCTCAGCAGTGTACTTCGTCGATCTGCCTCTTCTGTTCCCCACTCTGTCTCTGGTGAAGCCTCTCACCGCCCCTGAGCCTCTGGCCTGTATCCCAGTTCTGTATGCACAAATAAATAAATCTGAAAAAAAAAAAAAATGACACATTGAAATCATTTGTTAATTTTGAATGAGCAACAGTATGTGACTAAATTTCTGTCAGAAGCATAATATACAGGTAGAATAAAACCCACAAATTGGATCATTTCTGTTAACAGTCATCCTTTTGTCATCACCCTCAAAAAAAGAAATAGTGGCACATGTATGTTTCTTAAATACTTTTCTACATCTATTTTAAACTAATGGAAGAGTAGCATTCCTTTCACTGACCACCAGTGGCATTGAGGGTCTTTAACCCTGCATTGGTGTACGGAGCAATCAGAATGGGAAATAAGCCTTATTGAGGTCATATACAGAATTGTAATATTTTCATCCTGGGAAAATACTCCATAATCATTTCATTTCTCTCCTTTTCCAAATGAGGAAAAGTCTTGTGATTTGCTTTAGCTCACAAAGTTAGCTACTGATTATTAGCCTGAGAGTCTACATGGCTTAGAGGTTGAAGACTTAGCCTCTAGACCAGGCTGGCTGGATGGCAGTCGTGCTGTTTACCAGCTTTCACATTGGGCAAGTTACTCCAACACCAACCTCCGCTAGTCATGCCCTTTGCTTCGGTTTCCTCATCTTTCAGAAGCACAATATTACCTATCTTACAGGTTTTGTGATGTCATGTATGTAAATGATACAAAATGGTGCTTGCCTCATAGGGCTGTGTTAGTGTTACTGCTATTGCTTTTCTAAGACACGTCTCTTAATTTGGCTGTATTTGATATCAGATGGCCTCTTCCAATTGCTGTCGATCAGATTGTCATCTGGCCAGGATGTCATTGTCTGTGCTTGTACAAGCTTGACCAGAATTGTATTTTGTATCATCATTTCAGTTGAGTTATATATGTAATCTCAGTGCTTTGCTACATGTTGGATTTAAATGTTATTTAAAATCTCTTCAAAAAGATTCCATTGTGATTTGGTGTTGAAACAAGTTATTGAACATACAGCAAAGGACAGCACTCAAACAGAGTTATAAATTTGGTTATAAGTGAAATACACATTTGCCAATGGTGAAATCATCACAATTCTACTACTTTTCCCTAAAATAATAGCTAAATGCTATTATGGTAGCTAAGGAGGAAGATATTCCAAAGTAGATGAAGCTGTTTTATACTGAGATGTATACAGAAAAAAAATGAAGGTTGCCATTGGAAATGTCAAGCACTATATTGAAGGCAGGAAAAACTGCCATACTGTTTTGAATAGAAATAAACATCGAAGTGGTGAGAGACTGATTCATTCATTCAAGGCATATGTCATAATTTAATTGAAAGCATTTTTTCAGAGTTTTATGATTTATGGCATCTCAGAGTTGATGAAACATAGAATTATATCTCATCAAAAACGTAACTATTTTTTTTAGTGCCCATTATCTGGCTCTAAATAGTAGTATTCAGATGTTTTGTTTGACAAAGGAATGAATGGATAAATGAATACCTTGAGCCCCAACCTGCAGTCTGATGTTGTTGCCATTGCATCATATTTCATTGTGCTGGTATTGTAGTAAACAAAGTAGTAATATGAATAATGAATGAATGTTGACTATATTAGATATAAATTAATTAGTAAATAAATTAATAATAATGGTATAAAAATATGATGGTTTTTGAAATTTTGACTTTTGAAATAATTAAGCAAGTTGGTGAGTCACCAGTACCCACTGCATGATTTGAAATGTTAACATTGTTTAATTTTGGAAAGTAGAGAAAATAGACTTTCTGCAGTTGCAGGAAAAAAATTAGAATGGATTCATCCCTTTGAGAGAATGGATTTGACTGTCCTCCAAGGTAGTTGTGGTGCCATTATTTCTTGAATTTGTACATGACGTTGTAAGAATTGTCTTATAATAATGATAAGTCCCCATGTTTCTTCTTACACTAGAAAATGTGTGCTTTATTTTTAGAATATATCATCATTTTTTTTGGTCTTAATTTTGTTGTGAATTATAGTCAAGCATCCCTCAAAATCCCGATTTTAAAGGTTAATTTTAGTATTTTACTTGCCACACAAAAGATTTCCCTTACCTGTTTTTATGTTATACTGCTGTTTAGCTATGGACCCTAAAAAAGTTTTGCTTTAATTTGGAAGCAGATGTTGTATTTCTAAAACAGCTGAGATTCTTTTAGTATTTGGTCTTTTGCCAATAGTTGTCGCCACATTTTGATTTAACTAGAAGTTTGTGAAATGTTAATCCTTGCTTTTAGTACTTAATGGCGTAATTTATTTTTAAAAGGCAAATTAAAAAAAGTATCTAATTCTAATCATTGTGTTCTGGTGCTCATGTTTGCACCCCACTATCATAGGGGCTCAGACTTTCTAATTTAGACACTACCTACAGAAATTCTTGTTATTTAATGACCATTGGCAAAATAGCTAAGATTAATTTTTCTTAACCTTGGGGTCAGAACTGGTTCTCATCTGTTAGCATTTAATTTTTTGAAGTTATCTGGCATACTTTTAGATGTTTCCTTGAGCCTAAGGACAAATTCTTATTTTGTTGAGCAAATTTGATCCCTAAGTGAAAGATAGACTGAGCTCTCATAAGCTACTTGTAGTGGGTCTGGGTGAAGGGATTGGAGAGGTGAAGTATGGCACTTCTCTTGTTTTGTATTGTTTCTAGAAACAAGACTTACCTGAAATTATGCCACACTTTATTTTTTTTTTATCCCACACTTTATTATGCTACATTTGCAGATCATGCAACTACGAACTCTTACAGCCTTTAAGATAGGGAATGTTTTCATTCTACAACAGCTGAGGTTCTTTAGCAGATGTTTTGGTTTTGTTGTTTTGATTTTTTTCTTCTAAGATAGTTTCTCTGTATGATTTAAAAGTTTTCCTACAAGTTCTTTTCCCACACTAGCTAGAGTGATTTTCCTAAAAGACAGCTCTGAGTTGTGCCCTGCCTTCTGTAACTTCACTGTGTCTCGAAGATTCCGTGGGAGCGCTCATGCTTGCATTATTAGTTCCTTCATTCCCTACTTCTTTTTTTTTTTTTTAAGATTTATTTATTTGTGCATACAGAACCGGGGTACAGGCCAGAGGTGCAGGGGCGATGAGAAGATTCACCAGAGAAAGAGTGGGGAGCAGAACAGGCAGATTAACTGAAATACAGGGCTGAGGGGAGCATCCGGTGGGTCAGGAGAGGGCTGCTGCACCATGGGGGTCACCTCCGGGGCAGGCGGGGATCAAACTCATGCAGAATTGTCTTTAGCTTCTCAGTGCTGTGCTTAACCCACTGCGCCGACTGGGAGGGCCCATCCCTCTACCCTTACCCTTACCCCTACCCCTACTTTATTATCCAGCCTCATTCCCCTGAGGACTTTTTCACCGAAGTTGTATCCAGCACCCAGCAGATCTAAACTACATGAATTGTTTGACTTTACAACTTGCTTTAGCTTAGGGTATTTGTAAAAACCAGTGTGCTTGGAACTTGTTCTCCTTCAGCTAACGTCTGCTTGCTCTTCAAGCTTCTCCTTGACCCTGAAGCTCATGCTTTCCACCGTGAGCTTTCTCTGATACCTCCCTCCCAGATTCAGTGGTGGTCTCCAGTGTCTTTCAGTGCTCTTCTCGGAACTCATTCATTTGCTTATTTCACCTGCTGCACTGTAAATTGTTTAAGAACCAGACTTGTATCTGTATGTACAGCTGTCTTCCTAACCCCTAGCATCGGACTACCACATAGTAAGCACTAAAACACGTTTGTTGAATGAATGACTGGTAGATGTTCACTGAATAGTTACTACATTGAAGTAAATTTCCAATTGTCACTCCTTATGGGTTTTACATGTGGTGGAAGATCTCTCTCTAAGCCCTGCTATATATTCTCTCCAAAAATAAATCATGAATGCTTCCTGTTCCCATTTTAATCTTTTAGCTTTAGAAATAGAAATAGGTACCTTCAAGAATTTTTATTTGCTCAGTAGATGTTAAAGACATTGTAAGAATGCTGTTATCAAGTAATGTAATTCTTGAGTGTTTCGTGTATTATATTCTTTATATAATTATTCTGTCATATAATATTTATAACACTTCACAAAATGTGAACTGATTAGCTTTAGTATGTGCAGAGTTGGAACTGGATCTCAGACCTTCTTTCCTCTAAAGACCCACTCCTTTCCCTCCACTTGCCTCCCATCATGATTTTCGTTAACCCCTTAAAAATTAGATGTTCCATTATAAGATAAAACTTGCAGAACTCACTTGAATGTGAAAAATAGTAAAATCTATATTTGATAGTGTGAATGGGAGATGATCAGCTTATTGGATAAGTATGCCTATTTTTCTTTTTTTAATTCTGTTTTATCTTGGAACTAGAGTATTTACATTGGCAGGTGCCCTTGGAAAGAAATCAAACCAGGGCTTGGTGTTGTCACAAATAAATGTAGAAAGCAATTAGTGAACATTTGTCTAGGAGGGAGTGACCAAGTGGGGTGGAATGAAATGTCTTGCACTTTTCACCTCTCAGTTGCTGCTCATAGAACAAGAATTTGGATTACAAGAAACTTCCTTCTGCTTAGATTGTCCTGTCAGTGTTGAGTAGAAGATGCTTTGGTGCTCTCTTCACCCAGCCTTGCCATCCTTATGCAGTGTGACAGGATGGTAGAGCAACTTTGCACTGGTCAGTCTCCTTGACTTTGAGAACCAGTCACTACGTTAGCCAAAATCAGAATCCATTTTTGCTTTCTGCTTCATGGGAGAAGGCTGGAATTCAACTATGCACAAAGTTTCTTTACACACACACACACACACATAATATTTCTTAAGCCTGAATATTTTGTGAGCTGTACAAATCTGACTTTTAGTGTCTCTTTACATTCTTAGTTAGCTTATTTTCATTCTCTTGGAATAGGGAACAGTCTAGCTGTTCTTCCTAATTCTTTCATTTCTGTAGTTTCAAAGAAAGGTATTTTATAGCTAGAATCACCTTTTATAGCTAGAGCTCATTTTTCCCCTTTCATTCTTTGCCAGGAGGATTTTTGTAGTTGTTGATCTGTCAATTTCTAATCCCTGCATATTGACCAGATATAATGTTCCACAAGGGCATCATCACACATTATAAATTTAATTTCTTCCTCTAATTTACAAAATCAAGGCACAAATCCCAGCATAGAAGGTCAGTTTGTTTGATAATTACTCTGGCTCAAGTATGAATAGTTTTCCTGCTATGTTGTGCTCATACCAGGGTGCTTACTGGAATCTTAGTGGTGCTTAGAGTCGGGTCTTCCCTCAAACCTCAGAATATCCATATATAATTACTTGCAGAAAATTAAGCCATCATAAATGTAGAAGAGCCTTGCTGTGGCCGTTTCTCAGTATACCAGCCCTTTTGTCTGCATCTGTTTGAAGTTCTCCGTTACCTCACAACACTGGGCATTTTATCAAAAGTGACATCACCTTTGGAGTAAGCCTGATGCCTCTAAAACAGTGTTCACCTTTGCTTCTTGTTCTTGTTCCTCTCTTTTACTTGTACCATAGTCATTTTCTTTTCTTTCTTTTAAAGATTTATTTATTTGTGCATACAGAACTATGGGTACAGGCCAAAGGTGCAGGGGCGGTGAGAGGATTCACCAGAGACAGAGTGGGGAGCAGAACATGCAGATCAACGAAGTACACTGCTGAGGGAGCAGCGGGCGGGTCAGGAGAGGTCTGCTGCGCCATGTAGGTCACCTCCAGGGCAGGCGGGGATCAAACTCATGCGGAAGTGGCTTTAGCTTCTTAGTGCTGTCCTTTAACGGGCTGCCCCACCAGGGAGGGCCCTTTTTTTTTTTTTAAGATATAATTAGTTATGCATACAAGAACTGGGGTACAGGTCAGAGGTGTGGGAGGTGAGAGGGTTCACCAGAAAGAGAGTGGGGAGCAGAACAGACATATAAACGAAGTACATTGCTGAGGGAAGCAGCCGGTGAGACAGGAGAGGTCTGCTGTGTCGTGTGGGTCAGTTCCCTGGTCCTGAATCAAGCTAGTGCTGGGTTGCTTCATAGTGCTGTGTTTTAACCCTTGCCACCAGGGAGGGCCCTTACTTCCTCTTATTTGGAAAAAGATAATATGAAAGAGTATCTGTCACCTCAAACTTTGAAAATAAAATTTTGGATCATATGGGATAAAAGATTCATATATACTAAAAAACCATTACTTATGAAGCAGTTTAGTTATTTCTATTGTTACTTCTAGGCAGAAGAAATTCTTAAAAAAGAACTAGAGAAGAAAGAAACGCCAAGTTTATATTGTTTGCTGGGAGATGTCCTTCGAGAGCACTCACATTACGACAAGGCCTGGGAGTTGTCTGGACATCGCAGTGCTCGGGCTCAGCGCTCCAAGGGCCTCCTTCATCTACGAGACAAGGAGTTTCGAGAGTGTGTGCAGTGCTTCGAACGCTCCGTGAAGATTAATCCCATGCAGGTCAGACGGTTCATAAAACCTCATCTGCTCTCAGCTTTTAGGTTTTCCTCTGCTCTTGATTCTTCCTGAATGAGCACCCATTTTCTGCCCTAGTGACTGGCAAGCTTTATATGTGCGCGTAGCACTTGGCTCCACAGTATTTCTTGCTTGTCACCCAAAGTGTCAGGTTGGATTTCTCCTTTTCCCGCTCGGTTGCTTTCACTTTCCTGCTTCATTTCATTATTTCTTTCTGTTAATTCTCCTCAACCCAAAAATAACTGTTAAAGTTAGCTTCCATTTTGAGCAGAAAGTTAGAAATAAAGTGAGAGTCGAAATTAGAGATTATGTGAGGACTCTGCCAGTAGTTGCTGAAGTCAGTTAAGAAAAATTTGTATAAAATAGCACAAAGTGGATTGTTGATCACTTTCAGAAAAAGATGTCTATCTTTACATCCAAATGTTTTTGATTAGTTAAAATTTTAATGACTTTTTTTATAGCTTGAAAAAAAATTAAACTGGACCTTTAAAATAAGTGCAAGATAAATCATTAAGAGATGAGCTTTATTTTTCATTGATGATCACTTCTGATTTTTTAAACCAAACTTTCTTTATGGCTGCTTTTCTTTTTCACCACTATCTCTCAAGCAAGGCTCCTGACAGACAAGCACAGTTGGTGTAATGTAGTTAGCACTTCACAGTAGGCTGCTCCATTTTTGCTCAAATGATAGGCCTTCCATGCTCATGATTAAAAATAGCATCCCTACCTTCCACCCCTACCTCTTACTACTTGTTTTCCTTTTTCTGCTTAATTTTTCTCCTCAGTACCTTGTAATATTATGTATAATGTGCTTTCAAAAAAAGTTTTCTCCAATTTAAGTCCTTTGAAGGCACAAGTTTGTCTTTGCAAAATTTGTCTATATTTTCATAGTGCCTGTAACAGTGCCTAGCACATACTGGATATTCAAATATTTGTTGAATGCGAACAAAATAAATAATACCATTAACCAGTTATTCAGTTAAATATGTATAATTGTTGATTGTGTGTATAATATGAAGCCAGAGGATGAAGTAGTAGCAGCAGCAGATCGCCAGCTACTCTGGTTTGTGCCCTATGGTACAGTCTGGTAAAGCACACAAAGGGAAACATCCAAGAAATAAGAGACATCCAAGAAATACTAAGTGAGCTGTTATTTGTAAATCATTAAGTGTACTCAGATCAAATAGAGATTTGATGGAAAATGGAGAGAGGATGCTGAATTTGGCTTGAGAGGACGCAGAGTGCTTGACTAGACCAAGGGAAGGGCAGTCGTGAGGAGTGAGGGTGCTCCAAGCCGCTTTAGTATGCGCAAAACCCGGGAAACAAACGAGTTAGTGAACAGGTTAATTTTTTTTTATCTTGACAAACAGATTAATTTCTTTTATCTCGACTGGATCTTAAATGTGAGGGCAAACACCTTCTTTGGCAGTAGGGAGCCATTGAGGAGTTGATTTGTGTTTGGTTTGATTTGTATAAAGGAATGTGGTTTGCGATGGAGGTAGTTGAGGAATGCTATCTGGCAGCATGTGGCTGTGGCAATGCTAGGTGCAGGCTGGGTCAGGAGACTCACAGTAGTCCAGCTTGACCATCTTCAGTATGGTGGGTAGAAAGAGGGATGGGTGTGAGGGATGTTGTAGGGAGGGCCTGACAGGGCTTGATGGTCTCATTATATAATTTTGAATTAATTACATTGCAAGACAAAGAAATGACAGTTGCTCAAAGCAGAGTCAGAGCATAAACAGATGTTATGTGAAGATGTTTTGCAGTTTGTCATATGAATCCAATTCAGTCAGGCTGAGAGCCATGCCAAAATATGCAGGCATCTGAATGCTGCATTTGCAGGCATCTGAATGCTGCAGTTAGAAAGAACTTGCACACAAAGCAGAATTGAATTTGCCATAGACTAACAACTTGTGACCCAAATTTGAGCTCTGTCTAAAGGAGAGCTCTTCTACAAGTATTGTTTCTTTTAAGGCTGGGGTAAAAGAACAGAAAGGCAGAATTTAAAACACTATCCTCTTTTCTTAGAAAAATTTCAGTCATACTTAATGAGAAAATTTAGGCAGAATGAGAGGAGGAGTTTATTGGAATGACTTTTGTGCATTGTAATGACTTTCTGAAATCAAATAGATATAAAAGTAGGAGTATTGGTTTTATGTTAGGGATAAGCTGCAAAAAACTAAGTGTTTTGTTGATGGTGATTTGCTAGAGAATGGAGAACAATTGTACTGGTTTATATTTATGCTTTTGAGATTGCTAACTATCATTTGTTTATTATCTCCCTGTTTTACTTTTCCAAGTGACTTCAAACACTACTAAATTTTAACCTCTAGTTTTTCTGGAGTTCATGCAGGTGTTGGAAACTGAAGAAAGCAGAAAGAAGGTATATACAAACCTTCTGGACAGGGTTTCAGAGACTTACAGCCAGCATTAAAGTCCTTAGGCCCACTTTTAGGTAGTTATTATTATGGGAATAATAACTTTTTATGCAAAAACTAAAAGCACAGAAATTGTTCACATATAAAATTAATCTATGTGGCACCCACTTAAAAAATATTTTCTTTAAAAAAAACCTACTTGGCCCTTCCTGGTGGCAACAGCGGGTTAAAACACAGCACTAAGAAGCTTAAGTCACTTCCGCATGAGTTCGATCCCCGTCTGCCCCGGAGGAGATCCACATGGCGCAGCAGACCTCTCCTGACCCGCCCGCTGCTCCCCTCAGCTGTGTACTTCGTCCATCTCCCTGTTCTGCTCCCCACTCTGTCCCTTTGAATCCTCTCACCCTCCATGTCTCTGGCCTGTACCCCAGTTCTGTATGAATAAATAAAAAACAAAACAAAACAAAACCTACTTACTTCCCTTAACTCCTCTTCAATTCCTCATCACTCATGTTTGTGAGGTTTTATACTGACAGAATGCACAGCCGACATATACAGCAGGAGGCCTCAGGAGTTGAGAGGTGAGCTGTTGATCTGGGTAGGTGGGCAGGCTTTGTGCTCCCAGGTGGGACAGTAATTTGCTTAGGTACTTACTGACTGATGAAAGTGAGGGGTTATGGGGGAGGGGCGACAGCATGACTGGCTTCACAGGTAGGAGAAGAACATGAAGAAAGTTGTGATTTGAGAGTTTTCTAAGTGCTAGTGGATGTCCCGATTGTGCCTGTAATAGGTAACCCATCCAGGTTGGGTGTTCGTCCCAAATATTTAAATGAAGTACTGTCACTAATAGTAGCATTTTTAAAAGCTGGAACGGATTTTCACTTCCACCTTTTAAAAAATAATTAAAATTCTGCAATTGTCATTTACTTATCTATATGATTTTGGGGTTACATGTTCACAACTCCACACATGTGCATCTTTCACTCACCCTCTGCCAATTCTCTGTTAGTAACCTATCCTAGCCCTCTCCTAGCCCTCTGGTAGCCACTGTGTTCTTCGCATTGTCTAAGTATTATTTTGCTGCGCTTTCCAGTATGTATCCTTTGTTATTTATAGTCTACAAACAAGTGAAACCATCCGGTATCTGTCTTTCACTTTTTGACTTCACTTAGCATACTCACTCAAAATCCATCTATTTTGTCCCAAAGGCACTATTTCATCTTTTTAAATAGCTGAGTAGTATTCCATTGAGTGTATATTCCACACTTTCTTTATCCAGGCCTCTGTTGTTGGGCACTTAGCTTGGTTCGTGTCTTGGCAGTCGCAGATAATGCTGTGAACGAGGAGTACATAAATCTTCTCAAAATAGAGTTTTCGTATTCTTTGGGTACATGCCCAGAAGTGGTATTGCTGGGTCATATGGTATTTTCATTTTCATATTTTTAAGGTAGCTCCATATTTTTTCCATGGTGGGTGTATCAAATTACATTCCCACCAGCAATGGATGAGTGTTCTGTTGTCTCCACATCCTGGCCAACATTTGTTCCTAGTCTTTTTTGATACAGTAATTCTCACAGGGTGAGGCGATGCTTCATTGTGGTCTTGATTTTCATTTCCCTTGCAATAAGTGATTTTGAATATTTTTCATGTGCCTGTAGGCCATCTGAATGTCTTTTTTTTAATAATTATTTAGATCTTTTGCCCGTTTTTTTGATTGGGTTGTTTTTTTTTTATAGTTATTTTTAAGTTGTCACTGAACAGTTTATGTATTTTGGAGATGAACTCTGTGTAGACATGTAATATGGGCAAATATCTCCTCCTAGTGTGTAGGTTGTTTTGTGGTGGTTTCTTTTGATGCATAAAAGCCTTTTGATTTAATTTGGACCCTTGTTTATTTTTGCCTTTGCCTCTACTACCATTGGGGCTGCACCCCAGGTGTCCACTATACCTTCATCATCTGCCACAGTCTCATCTAGCGTGTGGTCAGTGCATCTGCAGTGGACAGAGCTCCGCGTGATAGTGTGCTCAGACAGAAAGGTGACCAGTGATAGCCTCTCTTTTTTTCCCAGCCCTGTCCGGATGCAGCCTAACTAGCAACACCCTTTCAAGAAGGCCAGGATGTAGGAGGCCTCGTGATAAAACTGACTGTGCTTGCTCTGAGTGGCTGAGGACAGCCAACTCCTTCAGATTGTGGGTGGTGGTGCAAGAAATGCTCAAGTCTTTGTCTGTAGCAACCTCCTGGAATACATCAGACATTTCTGCCAAACCGCACCTGTGCCATCCATGACCGTACTTCACTACCAGTTTACAAGATTATGGGGAAACGTGGCAAGTTGAAGGCTTGATGTAAGGACTCTGTAGTCAGAGCAGTCCTGCAGTTTATAAAGCACACGAGGAATCATCTGAATTCCCTGGCTGTCTGGGGTGATCACCTACTGTGTGGCCTGAATACCACTATCTTTGTATTATGTTGCTTGTCAGCTTCTTACATAGTTTATAATAAATACTTGTGGGCAGCAATCATTTTCAAAGAGCGAACATACCAAAATAGTGTGCTTTTAAGGACTAATTAAGAATTCATTGTGGGAATATATTGTCATTTTCACT